GGGGAAGAAGAAAAAGTATAGGGTAAAACAGAGAAGAAAAAGAAAACCGTTGACTTCCAACTCCTTTTGCCGCAGTAGAATAAAGCACATGCGATAAGGTACATAAAATAACATACAACCTTCACGTTATATAATAATATATACCAGCTATTTCTATAGCACCGGTTCTCGTGGATTGGTAGTTAAGATTAGGCACAGTTTCACGAACCGGCAAATCCCACTACTGGCTGGCCCTGCCCCTGCCCAGTTTTTGGCCTGATTTTTTTTTGGGGGGGGGCTGTTTCAAGCCATTTTGGGGACACTTTCAGACCATTTGGGGGGCATTTTTGACTGGTTTTGGGGACATTTTTTTACTGTTTGGGGGGGTCTGAAAAATGGCCTGAAAATGGCCTGATTTGGGGTTGTTTTCAAGCTGTTGGGGGTGGGGGCATTTTCTGAGGCAAAAATGGTCTGAAAAATGGCCCCCAAACAGCCTAAAAATGGCCCCAAAATGGCCTGAAAATGGTGCAAAAACAGGCCGAAAAACAGGCAGGGATTGCGCCTGTTCTGTCACGGGAAAGATCTGACTCGAGACCAGTGTGAATTCAGCTCTTTATTTCCTATCAGTAATTTCAACAAAACCTGAGCTGCGGCAGCCTCTTTTATAGCGGCTGCTCGCGGCTCGCGGCCAATGACGGCTTCTTAAACTTCCCGCCGTCAGGCGGACCAATTACAACAGTATTCAAGTAACCAATCAATAGGCGGCAATGGCGGACCAATCAGAATGCAGTATTACGAGTATGCAAATATATGTATGCAAATATATATATACAACAGGGCCTGCCAGTGGTGGGATTAATCCCAACTGGCTGAATCTTACCTGTTCCTTTGAAGCGCGTGGCCAGGAGGGCGGGCTGGGTGTGATGAGTGACATCGCCCACCCAGTCACATGACCAACCGGCCCCTGTATAGATGTGAACCAAACCGCTGTTCTGAACTCTACATCGTATGTTCAGCAAAGGCATGGCTGGGTTTAATGAAACATCTGAACTACAAAAGGCCTCTGCTCCTTTCCTTTGACCGAAAACATGCCTCCTTCCTTTTCTCAGTCGGTGAACATCAAGGGGTAATATCCACCCCAATTATTCGAGAAGGAAATTGATTAAGGCTTCCTTTCTTGTTTTCTTGGAAATCCAATTAGTTTGGGAAATGTTTTGCTAATGAATTTGCTTGGCTGGTTACTGTTCAGCCTGTATCAGCTGTGGCTAGAGTACAAACAAGGTTAGGCAGAAAGGGACAAAGCGGAAAGAAATAAGTATGGTAGGATAAATGTGTACATTACAAGCAGGCCAACTTTTGAAACTGGCATGCTTGCAACATGGAGAGTCTTTGTGTAGTGACTGTAATCTGGGATTAGCAATTTGTCCATAAAGTGAAGCGATTGCTGAGCGAAAAGTCACATCATCCTTAACTGTGCGTATGATTTTACTAAAGGTCTCCTTTGCTCAGACGTTGTGGGTACTCCCTCACTGGAGGTTTTCGAAAAGAGATTGGGCAGTCATAAACACTGGTATAGGGTCTCTTGACTGAGCAGGGGGCTGGACTAGAAGACCTCCAAGATCCCTTTTAACTCTATTATTCTGTTATTCTATTCTGCTTTACAGCATCACAGGTATAACTCCAAACAGGAACATTTCCGAAGTCAACTCACAAGGAAGGGCAAATATTAGAAGGGCAAATCTTTCAGCCCTTTCATCCACTCTCCTGCCTTTTTCTAGAATGCTCATCCCAGCGCTAGAATAATTAGCAAGAAGAGAATTGGTATTTGTACTTTCATGCATTGGGGAGAAAGGGATTACAAGAGAGTAAGCGGGTGCATAATGGGGAATACACATCAAAAGGAATGCATTAATACCAGCTGCTTGCCTAGGGTGCTGGTGACTGCAGCCACCAGCCCTTAAGGAGGCAAACAAAGGCTTTCAGTGTGACACTGATTAAAGTCTGGTCAGTTTCAGGATGGCAGCTGATTCTAATCAATTAATTAAGGTTCACCGAGCTGAGCTAATTCCTTTGGCACCTTTTAGGGAAATGCTGTGTTGAAAAGCAGCTCAGGAAGAGGTTGTTTGTTTAGGCAATGGGGGCTGTGAAGGAAATTGATTGACTGATTGTAATGGTGGATGGATGACAGAGGGAGAGATGCTACAAGAGTCATAAATATGGCCATTGCTCTCACAAAGTTACTTTTTCATCACACTCATAACTGGTCACTATCTGAGGCACTCACTAAATGAGGACTACCAGCAGATACTTTCAATAACCACAGCGAGATAATATAATATACAGCTTCAAACTGTTCCAGAAAATCAATGCAAAGGACAGGACAATACAGGACATCAATTTGCCTTCCAACATACCACCTTTTTTTTCTTTTTAAATTAAAAAAATTGCCCAGGAAGAAATTAGTTTTTAAAGGCATTACTCAAGTGTCAATATAATATCACATACACACACACACAAAAACCAGACACCAAAAGCGGTACCTTCTCCAATTTCAGCCTAGCCTCCGTTTATTCTCCAGGCCAGGCTTTGCAAAAATTCTGATACTTTGTCCTAAAACAAATCATCAAGTGTTCCACAGACAAAATAATCCCAAAAACTGGGGGGAGGAGGGGGAATCCATTAAAAATATGCCCAAAAGACAAATCTCTCTTTCTTCTCAGGGTTCGGTACATACACAGTAGCACAAAGAATTAAACATCTCAAAACATTGTTCACTAAATGCAAACAATTTTCATATTGAAGTGTGATTCCATATATTTGTAGCAGGGACAAAGGGAGGTGAGAGAGAGAGAGACAGAGACAGACAGAGACAGACAGACAGACAGACAGACAGATATAGATATAGATATAGAGATAGAGATAGAGATAGAGATAGAGATAGAGATAGAGATAGAGATAGAGATAGACAGATGATTGATAGATAGAGATAGACAGATAGATGATAGATAGATGGAGATAGATAGATAGATAGATAGAAAGATTTGGTGGGATTTTAAAAAAATTACTACCAGTTATGTGAGCGTGGCTTGGTGGGCATGGCAGGGAAAAAAGATACTGTCAATCCCATTCCCACCCCACCCCACTAACCTGCTTTCCAGCTCCGTTCTCCTGTACAGGGCAACCAAAGATCAGCTGGGACTCGGGAGGCAGAGAATGGATGGGGCAGGGCCAGTTAGAGATGGTACTTGCCGGTTCTCCTAACTACTCAAAAATTCCGCTACCGGTTCGCCAGAATTGGTCAGAACCGGCTGAATACCACCTTTGCTTCAGAAGTTGTAGAGTCTCCATCACTGGGAGGATTTCAAGAAGAGATCGGGCAGCCATTTCTCTGGTCTACTATAGGGTCTTCTGCCTGAGCAGGTGGTTGGACTAGAAGACCTCCAAGGTCCCTTTCAACCCTATTATTCTATGTTCCTAAGAAGGAAAGTTGGATTCATTCTTACAATATCTAACAGCGGGAGGTTACCTCCTTCAAGCAAATTCGGCTCTAATCTCTTCGTTTGCCCTTCCTTTGCTTGCTGCTTAAGCTTATATGCAAATGCTGGTTCTTTCTCTGTATCTTTTTTAATTTTGCTTTAATGCAACGAACCAAGCTAATTAAATGCCCAATTGAGTAAACCGATTTCAATCATGTGTTCGCCATCTACCCGGTCTGAAATCCAAGATTTTGAAATGTCCTCCGCCGTATGTCTTTTTGATCTTCCTAATGGAAGATTAAGCGCTTAACCCCTTCCCACTGGCACTGAATGATGCAAAGAAAATTGATTTTGAAATGAATAATAGCCTTCTTTCTTCCACTTCTCCAGATGCTTCATTCAAGATTGCTGGGGCTACTTGCCTCTTTATTCACGTCATGGGTTCTTCTGGACTCAGAGAATATCACTTTCAAACATTTTTCTTAAATGTTTTCTCAGTTGAGGAAAATAACCATGAGATCATCTTTGAAGAAGGCGGGAGAAGAAGAAGCAACGGGTTGTTGGGTTGGAGATCTGCCTGGGAGAAAACTTTTTAAGAGATGCAGAACCATATTTAAGAAGGAAAATATTGGTAGCTCAGTGTTGAACGGTGGGATCCTCAGCGCTCTCTGAGCTTGGTTGTTTTATTGGGGACGTTTCAATACCAAAGTAGGTAACACCATCAGTGTTAGAAGGGAATGGGGTTTGCGCAGAGGTGGTATTCAGCAGGTTCTGACCAGTTCTGGAGAACCGGTAGCGGAAATTTTGAGTAGTTTGGAGAACCAGCAAATACCACCTCTGACTGGAGATTTTAGAGTATTCTTCTCTGCCACACCCATCAAGCCACACCCACAGAACCAGTAGTAAAAAAAATTGAATCCCACCACTGGGTTTGCAACAAGGAGGAGGAGGAGGAGGAGGAGGAGGAGGAGGAGGAGGAGGACTGTGGGGTCCTTGGTGCTCTCTGAGCTTGGTTGCTTTCTTGCAGACATTTCATTACCCAACTAGGTAACATCATCAGTGCTAGAAGGGAGTGGGGGTTATGGAACGGAGGAAGAGTGTGGGGTCTTTGCTGCTCTCTTGAGTTTGGATCCCTGACATATAGGGATTTTCACAGTGGACTTTCTCACAATTTTAATACATTTCTTTTTCAAAGTTATTGTATTGTATTCCTGGTTTTTTAATTGTTTTTCATCTGGGGCCATCAATCCATGATGATTGATTGATTGAAACATGGGATTAGGGGAAATGCTATCATGTCTCTTCTGATCCTTCTCTTCATCAAACTCGACATACCCAATTCCAGCAACCGATCTTGATATGTTTTAGCCTCCAGTCCCCTAATCATCTTTGTTGCTCTTCTCTGCTCTCTTTCTCAAGATCTTTTTTATATTGACCGGAACTGAATACAGTATTCTAAGCACGAGCTTTTCCAAGATATTGTCAATTATAGATATCGTACAATGTGGACGTACAACTTACTTTTTCCTTCTTTTTCTTTCCTAGCTTGTAGCTTTGGAGAGACAAGTGTTTGATTTCCTGGGCTACCAATGGGCTCCGATTCTGGCCAATTTCCTCCACATCATCATGGTGATCCTTGGCCTTTTTGGGACAATCCAGTATAGACCACGCTACATTGTGGTGGTGAGTTTGCTAACGATCCTAAGGCTGGCGTATAATATCCAGATGGGGATTTAAGTCCAGTAGTTTCAATGGGATTTAATTTTTGGAAGACGCATAGAACTAAATTGTGGGAACGGGCCAGTGATGGCAGGCTTTCCTCAACTTACAACCGCAATTGAACCCAAAGTTTCCATTGTTAAACGAGACAGTTGTTAAGTGAGTTTTGTCCCTTGCTTAGGTTAAAAATGAGAATAGGTGTCCCTTCAATGTTGACACAGATGGTATAGCACAGTGGTGGGATTCAAATACTTTTACCACTGTTGGGCGTGGCTAGGTGGGCGTGGCTTGCCTAACGCCGGTGCGCAGCTTTACCCACACCAGCTGAGACTGCCGCGCCAATCAGCTGAGGGGATAAAGAAGAGAAAAGAGGATTTTTTTCCTCCTCTCAGTTGATTGTAGGCTTTTTTTAATACCAGTATGGCCAAACTGATTGTCGGCTGTGCTAGAACCCGAAAGTTCAGGTTTTCTGGAGTGCGATCTATTCGCGCAGGGGTGGGATTCAAATTTTTTAACAACCGGTTCTCTGGGCGTGACTTAGGTGGTGGGTGTGGCATGGTGGTCATGTGACTGGGTGGACATGGTCATGTTATTGGCTGGGTGTGGCCAACTCAATATCATTCACATCGAGGCACGCATCTCCTCGCCTGGCCTCTCATGCCTGTGGGGATGCTGCAACAGTGGTAAGTGTGAAAAATGGTCATAAGTCACTTTTTTCAGTGCCATTGTAACTTTGAATGGTCACTCCACACAAGCAAAGTACCAGCAAAGGAAGGGAAAAAAAACTCCAGAGAAGTTCCTGAGACAGGAAGTCTAGTCCTACCAAAAATGTAATAAGGGTTAATGGAGAGGCAGTTTCTGTAAGCAACACCAGAATGTTTCCTTCCTGCCTTCCTTACAGGATTAGGCCAGTCATTTCTTCTAACAACCGGTTCTCCGAATTGCTTGGAATGTTAACAATCAGTTCTAGTGAATTTGTGTGGACTGGTAGAATCCCACCCTGCCTTCGCATGTGCGGCAGTGTCAAAAACCAGCACGTGCATGTGCCCCAACCAGCTGATTTGTCGGGTGCGCATGCACGCTAGAAACCCAGAAGTTCAATTTTTCTTGAGTGCAGCCTCGACGAGCACATGCACGATGTCTGCATTACCTTTTCGTCACTCAGTGCCCAAAAGGTTCGCCATCACTGCACTATATAGTAGAATTCAATAGAGTTACTTCCTGTGGGGTAGAAGCTAGGGCCTTATTTTCAGAAAAACATGGATATTTCCTTTGGTGCTTGGCACAGTGAAGGGCCAATTTTTAATTCCTGGGTTGATCCAGAAAAACTTCCAATCACATTGTCACAATCCCCCCCACAGTAACAGATGATTGTTTTAAACCTGGCCTGTTGCAGTTTATACAACCTCAAACATGCAAGCACGTCTTCAGCTTGTCTGTCTCCCATAGCACATTTGAATGCGACCAGGGGCAATTGAGATTGCAAGCAGATAATTGCTTTTGATGTACTCCTTGCAAAGGAGGAGACTTAATTCACTTCAATCCAATGTTTTCACTTTGTTCTGCAGCCTTTTGGGGGGGAAACAATGAAACAATCTGGCAGTTCATAATACAAGGGGCTGCAAATTTTAATTGCCAGCCTAAAAGGCGTTTGCCTGTGAGATTCTTCTTATATGGAGTTGGCGATCCATGATAATCACAGCCATAAGATAAACTCTTTGCAATTTGACTAATCAGCTTGTTATCTCCAGAGCTGATATCAATGTTACTATGTAGATCAGACAGGAAACATAACCAAATAAGCTAATTCTATTTTATTGTAAAGCTACATTAACTCGAATCTTGGAAGACTGAAAGTACAATAGGTTTCCTAGTGCAATTTCTGGGCCGCAGTCCACAAACCAGGCCATGGCCAGTTCAGAACCAGACCACATAAGTGGTGGGAGCTCCTGTTCATGCACGAAGTGCCACTACAACTGACTTCCCCCATTGTCTTTGTGTTTTGACCTAGGCTTCACAAAATCACGAAACAGACTCCTCGTCCTGACAAAACCCCTTTTTATTAGACTGGATGTGATTTCCTATCATTCACATCCAGCAAAGTCCAGGCAAACAGTCTTTCAAGGGTGAATTACAACCATATACCTTATCAGGCTTGGAGAGTTACCAGGCCAACAGCTTCCAAGCACAATGCTGTACAAGAAAATACTTGGCAAGAAGTCACGAACAAATCTTCACACTAATTAAACGAACTAATAGTCTCCTGCAAACACCACTCCTGTTTCACTCCTCTTTATTCCCTATGGGAGGGGCCATTCACCATCCACCTGTGCCTTTACTCCCGAGTTGACCCTTGTTCCTTAGCTGTTCCCTTTTCCTGGCAGCTCTGCGCATACGCACACTGGGAACAGGCTCCAGCTGTTCTTATGCCCCACTGATGTCCAACTCGGAAGGCAGCTGATAACTGTCAGACGGCCCTGGCCCCATCTCTGCCTCCAATGAAGAGCGCCCATCAGAGCCTTCCCCAGACTCCAGGACTGGCCCATGTTCCACCCCAACCTCCTCATTGTCTCAATCTGCTGCTAGTTCTGCTGGCTGCTGGCGGGCCACAGAACTTTGCTTGTTCGAACATAAAGACACCCCAAGAATGCTATGTGAATTTCGTCCCATTTTATGACCTTTCTTGCCATGGCTGTTAAGTGAACCACTGCAGCTCTTAAGTTAGTAACATGGCTGTTAAGTGAATGTGGCTTCCCCATTGACTTTGCTGGTCAGAAGGTCACCAACCGGGATCACGTGACCCCAGGACACTGCAACTGTCATAAATAGGAGCCAGTGGCCAAGGGTGCAAATTTTGATCATGTGACCATGGGGATGCTACCATGGTCATTACCTTCCTTCTTTCCTTCCTCCTTCCCTCCGTTCTCTCTTTCTATCTCTCTCTCTCTGTCTCTTTCTTTTTTTCTTTCTTCTCGCAGTCTCCTGACAATTGCGTAACTCTGAGTGGTCACTAAATGAATTGTTGTAAGTCAAG